CTTGCTTCCTGTGATGTTCTGTTAGACTCTAACAGTTAGAGGCTTGAAAAAGGCAGTGAGCATCCATCTGTTTTCCAACATTTCCTTTTGATTCTTGAACAGCTGCCCCCATGTCTTATATGCTCCCATCCTCTTCTCTAGTCTTCGTTGTGGGAAAAGAAGAAATCAAGATGGAGTCTATGGGACAAATTAGAACACCTGATTCATTGAAATGGCTGAAAATAGTGGGTAGCTGAAAATATTCACAGCTTCTTTGCCAGTTCCTTTTGCAATAGCCACATATGCTCAATCCTCTTTCCAGTCCTACCAAGCTGGCTATAGCCAACTCGGACTCTGATTGGGAAGATGCTGATTTGAACTAGAGCAGGGTGATAGTGGATTGGCTACTTACAAGGGATCTGATCTATCCCATATTTCTGCTGCTGGATAGACTTCTGGATGAGTTGTATATGAAAGAGAGCAAACAGGTATCTAAAATTCACATTCTTTCTGTGCCCATGTCTGTCTGTGCACCTCAGGTTGCAATGTAGTTTCCCATCTATTTTCACTAGATTCTGGGTCAGCTACCAAAAAGGGAGGGGGGCGGAACCACCAAGCTCCCCTAGGCATGGCAGTAGAAAAATCTTGAAGAGGACAATGGTGTGCAAGTTAGTTTTCACACAATCAAAAGTAAAGTATTTGATACTAGAGCAGGCCACTCCATTCAAAATAAGGAATCAATAGAAATTATATATCCTGGCCAGGAGGATAAAAGGATAATTATTTCTCAACCTTTATAGTATATCAGTACTTCTTACACTGTTTGATTCAATTAGCCATTTGCCTGGTCTTGTATAATTTCATTACTCTACAATAACAAAAAAATTAACTTCTGTTGTTTTATGCAAGCATCTTGGCACCTGCAGATCTAAACTGAATTCTCAACTCACAAGCAAACAATTAAAAATTGATCTATTATCCCCCCCAGGATATGCCCAAATTACATCCTTGGTGTAATTACTTCTAGTTTAAGAGCATCTACTTTACAAAGTAGGCAGGAGACAGAAGTACAAGAAATGCTGATCTGAGCCTTCAATCCTGTGAAATTCATTATTATTATTTTTTGTTATCAAGAGAAGTCTAATATCTAGAATATTAATAAAACAAGATTTTAAAGAAGCCACATTGGTTTCTTTTCAGCAAAGAGAGCGTGAGAGAGTTGGAAGTTTATTTTGGTTATTGAGTGTACTCCTGACCTTTGTGTAGAATTCCAAATTAAAACATCCAGATTTTGGATTCTGCTTGAATGTAAATAATTAGTTTTACAGTCAAATTACTGTAAATATAATATTCAGTTGAATTACCCCCTTTGTGTAATTTACTGTATATCGGCTTTTCTATGCTTTGTTCTGAGAACAGGTCTTGATCTTCTATGTGCCATCTTTTTAGATATTTAAAGAATGCTGTCTCCCCCTTAATAATTTCAGGTCAAGGCTAAGCATACCCAGAAGGTTCAGTCTCACTTTGTAGGTCTTTTTACCCTTCTTTGAACTTGTTCCAGTTTCTCTTATTCCTTGTGGTGTTCACCCAATTTAGTTTAATCTACATATTTGGCATGTTCTTTCTCCACCTCTTCTTTCAAATCACTAATAAAAACATCGAATAGCTCAGAGCTGAGGAATGAATCCTATGGCACCCCACTCAATAATCTCTCTCCACTTTGATAAACATTTTTTAGTTTGATTTTTGAGCCAGTGTTCATTTTACTCTGGTGGCAGTCAGTCTATTTTTCTGATTTACTAATCAGAATGTCTTGCAGCGTATTATTTGGGGCTTTATATCTATTTAAGATATATTATTTCTAAACCTAATCTACTAAGGAAGTTGCCACATAAAAGAATGCTGAAAGATTGTTTTGCCCAGACTTGCTTTTGTCGAAGTGACTCTGACTTCTGATATTATTTATTCCCAGATATTGATGTCAGACTAATTGGACTGTACTTAATCAGACTTATCATTTAATTTCTCCATTAATTTAGCATGCAATTCATCCATCCCCAGAAATTTAAAATTTTCACATAAATCAATAAATATCCCTTGTGGTTTCTATTAATCTCTGTCTCCAATTATAGATATTTAGTCTTTACTTTGCTGCTTTCATTGAGCAGTGTGTGTGTGTGTGTGGGTGTACAGTATAAATATAACATAATACAATACATAACATATTAAGGTTATATTTAAAGATGTTTATTGTTTTATCATCCTTCCCAACTCAGCTCATTCTGAACTTTAACTTTCCTGACACACTATTGTTTCCAGGTATCTGTCTACATTATACCTTGGTATGTCTGCCTTTCTTCCTTCATTAAAGATAAAGATAAAGGTTCCTCTCACACATATGTGCTAGTTGTTCCTGACTCTAGGGGGCGGTGCTCATCTCCGTTTTAAAGCTGAAGAGCCAATGCTGTCCGAAGACATCTCCGTGGTCATGTGGCCAGCATGACTAAATGCCGAAGATGTACGGAACGCTGTTACCTTCCCAACAAAGGTGGTTCCTGTTTTTCTACTTGTATTTTTACGTGCTTTCAAACTGCTAGGTTGGCAGAAGCTGGGACAAGTAACGGGAGCTCACTCCATTACGCGGCGTTAGGGATTTGAACTGCCGAACTGCTGACCTTTCTCATCGACAAGCTCAGCATCTTAGCCATTGAGCCACTGTGCCCCTTTTCTTCCTTCATTACATGGCTTTTATTTTCATATATCCAGTAAGCTTTTTACTAAGGCACATTGTCTTTCCTTGCTTCCCTCTTGGTTGTTGTTTTTGGAACTTTGTTTTTTAGTATTTGACTAAATAGTCACTGATTTGACTATTTCTTCTCATTTTCTTCTCTGCTATGGAATTTTAATTATTTTGGCCACAAGCCATTACTTTTTTCTTCTCCTCATTAAAAATGTCCAATATATATTCAACTACATTCAGGTTTACCTTCATTTACAATTAAGATGTACAGCATTACCAGTAGTCCTTAACTTACAGCAACTCATTTAGTGACTATTCAAAGTTACAATGGCACTGAAAAAAGTGACTTATAATTGCTTTTCATACTTACAACCATTGCAGAATCCCCATGGTCACATGATCAAAATTCAGATGCGTGGCAACTGATTCATGACTGTTGCAGTGTCCCGGGGTCCTGTGATCAACTGTTGCAGATTCCCCATGGTCTGTGATCAATATACAATATACAACACTTGTCAACTGGTATGTATTTATAAAAGTTGCATTTTCGTAGGGTTATGTGGTGATTTCTTGTGAAGCAAAGTCAATGGGAAAGTTTACAACCATATTACTAATTACTAATTTTGCAACTGCAGTGACTCACTTAACAATTGTGGCAAGAAAGATAATAAAATGAGGAAAATTAACAGATGTCTTGCTTAGCAACATAAATTTTGGGCTCAATTGTTTTCAAAAGTTGAGGAATACCTGTACTTAATTAATATTCCACAGTGTTCCTACGGTTTTAGTTTCCACAAACAGATCTTCCCTGTTGCCTAGGGAATAAATCTAACTTTTTGGTTAGGAGAAAGTTATCAACAATACATATTAAGGATTTATTCGAAGACCACAATTGGCAGCATTCATCATTCAACAAATTTTAAAATCTGCTACAATAAATGCTAGTGGAACTAGAAGTTTTATTTTTAAGCTGTGAATTAGGTTTGTAACTTAACCATTTCTATTTGCCTCATTTCATTGGATTGCTTCCTGAAAAAGACAGCTCAATCATCTATTCCAGTTGCCCCCAACCTTTTGGGTACCAAGGACCAGTTCCATGGAGAGAGGTTTTTCCGCAGACTAGAGGGAGCCTAGTTTTGCTTGCTGCCTGCATCCTGCAGATGGGGCTTCACTTGTTTATGTGGTCCAGTTTCTGGCATGCCAATGACTGGTGATGGTCCACAGATTGGGGGTTGGAGACTCCTGATCTATTCAACCTAATCAGTATATAAAGAACATGTAGAAGGGGAGACGAAATGACAAAGAAAAATAGAAATGAAAGAAAAGATAAGAATTTGGTAGAGAAAAAGAAAATAAATACATAAACATCTTCTGCCTTCATCAAAAATATAAACAGTATGTAGTATAGTAATTTATTACCTTCTCTTAAAATAAAGCAAATTATTTTTTCTTCCCATATCCCATTTTTCATCTATAAACAAATCCTTCAGGGATTGTTATTTGTGTTGCTCAGCAAATGTCTATTAAGGGTTATATAGTAACATAAAATCATTTCATATTTTTTATAAATAACTTTATATTCCTTCTTTTTACTTCCAACAATTTATAATCTTTAGTCCTTTCAAGTTATGTCCTACAGCTTGATTTCTGTCCATGGTTTCTTTGTTCCATCTTACCAAATTCTACAAAGTTTTTACAAGCTTTAAAAAAAATCTAATACAGGAAAATTATTCAGGTTAGTTGCTTGATTGGTTATTTGTATAACCCTTTTACTTATTAAGACATCTGCTGGTTGCTTTTCATGTCTATTGTAGCATATTTTTCCAGATTTTTTTTTATAGTCTATCCTTTTTAAATCCACTTTCAGATCAGTCTCAATATAAAACTTGTTCCTCTTCCATAACATCTTTTGATGTTTACCTTTGGGGGAAACACTCTTAAAATTAACTTTAGTTTATTTCTTCCTTTCTTTTTTCATTGTTTTATTTTAGTTTGGATTAATTTATATCATTTTAAAAGCTTTTAATAAGATTATATTAAAAAAAGGAATTTGAGGTTACAGCTGATGGCAATAATTACTGCATAATGTATGCTCATTTTTGGAAAATTCTGTATAGGAAAAGCTTCTGAGAATGTATGTGCAGAATAGTAATAATCGACCGTTGACTTACCTGAACGGTCCTTCTATGTGTGCTGCGAGGGGAATCCAAGCATGGGTTACCTTTGTCATTAGCCTAGAGACTGAGTTATGTAAATTGGTGACCACGCCTCCACTGACCGGATGGGCTCAGTTTTGTACGAAGTCAGCCGTTTAATGATGTATAACAAGAACAACAACGATAACATAACAAGAACAGTATCAATAAAGGCCGTAGCCAAAGAGGTATACAAATATTGTCAGGAAGAACACAAGTCACAAGTAAATAACATCCGTCATAGTCCGGTGACACGTCAATGAAGACATTTAAGTTCACGTCATGACCACCCTGGCCAGCCGAAGCTGCGGGCAGGTTTGGATTCCCCTCGCAGCAAACATAGAAGGACCGTTCAG